GGTGGGGGAGACAATGACTTCTCCCTTCGTCCACAGTAACGGGGGGCTTATGCTGACCTCTTCCCCAGCCAGAGCTGGGTTGGGAAACGGAACCCTGAGCTTACCTCCCACCTCAGCAACCATGACCTGAAACCTCAGGGTTCATTTAGGGGGTTTTTCAGCGGAATTCCTCCTTCCCCAAAGTCCAAAGGCGCTAGCCTTTTGCTGCCAATTTGGTTGTTTAAAAAAAAAAAGATCAAGCAGGGAAAATTAAAGACCTGGAACCCCCTGAGGTACTGTCTCATATCATCTGCCAGTTCTAAGTGGATGGTGAGGAAGACCTGGGCAGTGTGACCTAAGCTCTTCTGAAAGGGTCCTTTCGTCCCCCAGAAGGGCAGCCTCTGCCTCAGTGAGAGAGGGGCCACTCACAAAAGTAGCTGCTGGGAATCTTTTTTTAAAAATTCACAAATGCAGGGATAAAAATGAAGGGGGACACAGCCAGGTGCCAATGTTGGGGCTTCTGGCGTGAGAAAGCTTTTTTCATCTTATTTATATACTGTGCTCAGAAATCGCCTCCAACCTATCACCCCGTTTTGACACAGTCCTGTCACCCTCTCCCCAGTGTCATTCGTTTTCAGATCCAGCCTCTACTCTGCCTTTGTTCATCTCCATGATGTCAGAGCCCTGGGGTGACCCCTCACAGGAGGGGCTCACGTGCTGTTTGCCTCTCTGAGAGACAGAGAGAGAGCTGGTTTCAGTTCTTGGTTTGGGTCAGTTTTGCTTCCTGTTTTTGGTTGATACCCTGCTTTCGAGCTGTGGGGGGAGGGAAGAAGGTGAGAGTCTGGGGTTGTATAAAAGCTGGCATGCTGTTGTGTATCCCCGTTGGGGCCTGTAGGGTAAGTTGAGAAAAACGGGGCTCAGGCCCTCGGCAAGACCTCAGCTAGAAAGAGGAACTGAGCTGCACAGCAGCTGAGCAGGCTCAGAGAGCAGCCAGCACCCTCCACTCCTGTGATTCTCACTCACCAGCATATGGCCTTTGCAAGGTGCTTTCTCATTCGTTACTTGGATCTTGGGAGGGGGGAGTGTTCTCGTTTTACTGGGGGGAAACCTGGGTGTGCAAAGGTTGCCAGGCCAGGAAGGGCCCAGCCCTCTTGGTTCCCAACCTCCACCTCACCCCTTGGCAACTCCGCCTCAAAATGCCAGAGCTTCGGGTTTCAGACACACTGACACATGGCTCGGCAGCCTCCACCACTGGAAACGTGGAGTGGATGAGGAAGGCCAATGGGCGCGGGATGGGGAGGTGGGATGGGAAGGTTAGCATACAACGACCACCCAGAAAGGGGCATGCAGGTTCTCCCTACCCGCCCCCTATGGATCCAGCGCGGGAGGGATCCTGGTCAGGAGAGCACTGAGAAACGTGGAGACTGGGAACCCAGAGTGGGTGTGAGGAAGCCCCCACCCACTGGCGGGCAACACTGCTCACCCCAGCAGTGCTGTCCCTTCCACTCCTTTACCGAACCCCCCTCTTTGTCTTCAACCCCAAAACATAATGTCAAAGCATTATTTTTTAAAATTTCAGTGACTTTAGGGGGTACAAATAGTTTTTGGTTACATGGATGCACTGTATAGTGACGACGAAGTCTGGGCTGTAAGTGTACACATCACTCCCACCTGTGCACATTGTACCCGAGAGGTGGTTTTTTCTTTCTTTCTTCCTCCCTCCCTCCCCGCTTTCCAAGTCTCCGGTGTCCATTATGTCATTCTCTGTGCCTCAAAGCATTTCTCTGATGTGGCTGTTCCTGGGAGCTAGATTCCTCCCTCACATCTGTGACCGTTCTGTCCCTTGTCTCCTCCCTAATCCCACTTTGGGAAACTCAGGCTTAACTTCTCCCTCTGGCTGGAGTTTCACAGCCCCTCTGGCTTTGTGCTCCACGGAGCTAGGGCCCAGCTTCCAATGAAAACATTCGTGCTCCAAGACTATTGCCATGCCCAACCCTCCCTTTTCCATCTTCCCCTGACATACCTTTTACCCCCTCCCCTCTCTGAGGGTAGGTCTGTACATGCATTCATCTGACTTGGACCTGTGTAAACAAACCTTGTCAATATTTACCTCTGGGTCCCACAAAGCGGAGATGCCCCCAGAGGAGCCAATATCCGGGCTGCAGCAAGGCCATCAGGAGAGCTGCTGGGGGTGGGAAGAGGGACACTTAGAGGTGGGAGGATTTTCCATCCTCCTGAATTAGCTGGAAACAGACCTGGAGTTTTAAAACTAGTTTAAATATTATTTAAAAAAGGAAATTAGGCCGGGGGGCGGTGGCTCACACCTATAATCCCAGCACTTTGGGAGGCCAGGGTGAGAGAATCTCTTGAGGCCGGGAGCTTGAGATCTGTCTGGATGACATAGAGCCCCTGTCTCTGTTTTATTTTTTAAAACGATGAAATTAAACAAGAGGGAATCAGCCTGGGCAACATAGTAAAACCTTGTCTTACAAAAATCAAAAAAATTAGCCAGGTGTGGTGGCATGCACCTGTAGTCTCAGCTACTTTGGAGGCTGAGGAGGAAGAATCATCAGCCCGGAGGTCAAGGCTGTGGCGATCTGTGATTATGTCACTGCTCTCCAGCCTAGGTGACAGACTCTAACCAAAAAAAAAAAAAAATCCAAGTACAAAAAAGGACTAATTGCCATTGCTCAATATGTTGTGAATTGGGTGGCTCTTCACAGCCTCTTCTGCTCAGCAGGTGGATGGAATGGGGGCAGGGGGCCCCTGGAGGCACTGACCTCCCCCTCCAGAGAGGCTCTGCATTCAAGCAGGCACTGCTCCCACCTGTTCCTCAAGGATCTTGAGCAACCAGTCCTGGGTTACGAGACTCACCAGAGAGCTTGGGGGACTGGGGGAGCAGGGCAATGGAAGTGGGAGTTCCACCCCATCCACCTCTGTCTCTTCCCTTTTTTCCAGAGACTGTCCCCCAGGAAATCCTTTCTGTTTTTTGTTTGTTTGTTTTTTGGGGTGTTTTTTGAGTTGGAGTCTCGCTCTGTCGCCCAGACTGGAGTGCAGTGGCCGCTCCCGGCCACCGCAGCCTCGACCTGCTGGGCTCCGGCAATCCTTCCGCCTCAGCCTTCCAAGTAGCTGGAACTACAGGCATGCGCTACCACGCCCAGCTAATCTTTTATTTTATTGTAGAGATGAGGGCTCACCAAGTTGCCCAGGCGGGTCACGAACTCACGGGCTCAGGCAATCCACTCACCTCAGCCTCCCAAAGTGCTGGGATTACAGGCTGAGCCACCCGAGCCAGGCTAGGAAATCCTTTCTGATGGATATCCTTTGTCATTGATGGGTCTCAGTGAATACGCAAACCGAAGGGGAGCCCCGTGTCCTGGAGAACACACCTTCAAGAGAGGCTTGAGAGATCACAACCCGTCACTTCTTTATGCAAGACTCGATTATACCCCCCTTAAGAACATGTAAGCAGCCAGGCTCGGTGGCTCAGCCTGTAATCCTGCACCTTGGGAGGCTGAGGTGAGTAGATTGCCTGAGTCCGCGGGTTCAAGACCCGCCTGGGCAACTTGGTGAGCCCTCATCTCTGCAATAAGTCAAAAATCAGCCGGACGTGGTAGCGCATGCCTGTAATTCCGGCTACTCAGAAGGCTGAGGCGGAAGGATCGCCGGAGCCCAGCGGGTCGAGGCTGCGGTGGTTGGGAGCAGCCACTGCACTCCAGTCTGCGCGACAGAGTGAGACTCCAACTCAAAAAAAGAAAACATGTAAACCAGATGAGACTGTCATAACTCCCTGCCCTTATCTTCCAGCTGCCCCCAGATTTCCTCCTTGTTCTTCTCCATTTTACACAGCTAAAACTATACTTAAGGCACTATTGAATCCTCAATAATCCATTTTACAGATGAGAAAACTGAGGTACAAAGAGATGAAAAAACTTGCACAAGGTGCAAATCCAGGTGCTCTGACACTCAAGTTGATACTCTGAGCTATGCACTCAGTAGGCATGGGGAAGGACTAGCATTATTTTCTGTGGTTTCCACTTCCCTGGCCCTACTACCTTCAGTATGTTTTACCAACCCCTTTATCTCTCACCTCTTTGCTGCACCCATGTCTTGGACTTTATTGTCACTTCTCCCTTCAGATCTTGACTTAAAGGGCGGTACACAGTATTCCCAGTCAGTACCAGAGTTTTACACCCAGGGCCTGACAGGTGCCAGGATTCCAGCAAGACCCCAGACCAGGGCTCCCTTCAGGGGAGCTACAGCTTTTGCTGCTAAGACCTCTGCTGATACTGTTTTTTTAGGCACCACTGAGATGCTAAGATGGGAATGGCCAAGGGAAGAGGACTTTTTTTTTTAAGTTGGATTCTCACTCTGTTGCCCAGTCTGTGCAGTGGAACGCTCATGGCCACTGCAGCCTCGACCTGCCGGGCTCAGGTGATCCTTCTGCCTCAGTCTTCCAAATAGCTGGAACTATAGGCAGATGCTGCCACGCCCGGCTAATTTTTTTTTAATTTTATTGTAGAGATGAGGAATTGCCGAGTTGCCCGGGCTAGTCTCAAACCCGTGGGCTCAGGCAATGCTCTCACCTCAGCCTTCCAAAATGCTGGAATTATAGACATGAGCCACTGCACCCGGCTAAGAAGAGGGCATTTTTGGCCTTGGTGCCAGAGAGGGACAAGGGACATCCATTTCTAAGGTAATGGTGAGAGGTGGGAGAGGATAGAGGAAGATGGACGCTGGTTTCTTGACTCATTAGCCAAGAACCCTTAGGAAAAAATTCCTGGGGATGTTTACAGAGAGTAGAGGTGGGGCAGCCAGTCCTTGAATCCACATGGAACTGGAGGTGGAACTGGGAAAGAAAAGTTCAAGACAATGTGTGGGTAATCCAGAGGTTTATTCTCAGATCCTCTTTGTCACCTCCAAATAGAGACGAGCTTTGTCATGCCCAGCCCTGATCTGGGCCCCCGCCTCCCCCATTCCACCACACCCAGAGTTTGGGATCAAAGATCAGACTTCCTCCCTGACAGGACACCCCTCCCTGGGATGCAAGGATCCAGGCAGACCTCAGAAAGGAGCATGTTCGGCTTGCACCGTTCACCGGGGTGTCCCTTTATCTGGGTTGGTGACCATGGCAGAAGGGCCGCTCTCCTGGGGGATGCGCGCTACCCACCGCCTGCCTGCCTGCTTTAGGGCCACCTGTTCCACCAAGTCCCGGCCCTGGGGCCACAGCCTGGACTGCAGCTCCCTGAAGGTGTCTGCCAGAGCCCTCCGGGGCTCGCGCCTGAGGAGACAGTACAGCACGGGGTTGAGGCAGCTGTTGCTGTGTGCCAGGCATGTGGTGACAGGGAAGACGTAGGTATGGATGGCGTAGAAGGTACTGTCCCAGGGCACCAGGTCAAACTTCACCAGGACACCCCAGAGAGTGACCACATGGTTGGGGAACCAGCAGAGGAAGAAAGAGGCCACCAGGATGCGCACGGAGCGGGCCACAGCCCTGCTGTCCTGCCGCCGCTGCCGCCGCCGCCGCAGGAAGGCCAGCAACAGCAGGTAGCTGGTGGTGATGATGCCCAGGGGCAGCACGAAGGCCAGCACCACTCTCTGCAGCTGGTAGGCCCCCAGCCAGTACCTGCTGGGGAAGCGCAGCAGACAGAGGCGCACGCCACACACCTCACTCTCTGCCCCGAAGACAGCCGTGGGCACTGTCACCACAGCAGCCGCCACCCACATGGCCAGGGTGGCCACGCGGGCCCAAAAGAGTGAGAGGTGGGTGCCTGGCCCCGTGGCCGTGGCCACCACCCAGTAGCGGGCGATGCTCAGCGCCGTGATGAGGAAGATGCTGGCATAGATGTTGAGCACAGTCGCTGTCAGGACCATCTTGCAGAGGGCACTTCCAAAGGGCCAGTGGAAGTCCAGCGCTGACTCAGCTGCCCAGAACGGGAGGGTGAGCGCCAGCCCTAGGTCCGCCAGGGCCAGGTTGAAGACAAAGGTGTCTGAAGGCGGGCCAGGGGCTCGCCGAGCACAGTTACCCAGTACCCACAGCACAGCCAAGTTTCCCAGCAAGCCGATGGCCCCCACAAGCCCATAGGCCAGGGCAACCATGATCCTCAGGGCTAGGAATTGGACAGGCATCGCTGCATCGTCAGCACTCAGCACGCCGCCTCCAGAGGTGTTGGCCCAGGAGAGAGCGACTGGGGTGGTAGACAAATTGAGAGCAGGCATCGCCAGGCATCCGCGGGTGGTGCTGAGCAGAGAAATCTGCAAGTGACTGCCAGACTGGCAGAGGCCACCGTAGCCTCAGCAGGTGGTTGTAGGTCAGATGCTGCTGGGACCTCCCACATGGCCCAGCCCACACCCACACCTTACAGGGAGAGGTGTGGTGGGACAACCCATCCCTTCCCTGTTGGTCAAGGTTGGTGGTGGGTGGGGCAGGGCAATCTCTGGTGTGGGGGGTGTGTGTGTGCGTGTGCGTGTGCGTGTGCGTGTGTGTGTGTGTGTGTGTGTGTGTGTGTGTGTGTTTTAGGGCTCTATGCTGCAGAGAGGGAGAGAAGGAGATGGCGTAACCCTACAGTGGAGGGCAGCCCCAAGCCTCTGCCCCAGGGAGCAAGCTGGAGCTTCCCTGTCCCAGGGATGACAGGAACCTAGAGCCACCTCTGCTCCCAACAGTGTGCAAAGCCCCCCTTCTCTGTAGCAAGGACTCCCTTGCGGCCCAGGGGAAGGGTCCTGGGAGGAGGCAGAGAGACAGGGAGTCAGCATGGACGTCAGGGAGAGAGTACTCAACCGAGGCTGTGGTCCCAGGCCTGCTGCTCACTAGCTCTGGGGCCGGGTGAGTTCCTTTTCACCCTGAGCCTGTCTCCTTGTTTATGTTTTTCAGACCAATCTCTGCTAACCAGAACTGGTGTGATGAAATGAGGTCATACATGTGAAGCTGCACTTTGTATGTCTTCACATGGATGATGATTATTTCCAAGGAGAAGTTTGGGGTGTTTGCAGCAGAAGGGAGCAGCTGTGATCATGCCCAGGGAATGGTGCCAACTAAAACAGGTTGGAATTCATCTCAGCGGCAAGCGACCTTGAGACTAAGAGCAGAGAGGGAAAGGAGAGAGGAAGTCACCACTTCCTGTCTCCTCCCAGCTGGGAACACTGGGCCTGTGTGGACTGAGCGAACAGGCTTGCCCCCAGTTCTGCAAGATTAAAGTGACCCTGCTAACCTACCACCCCAGGCCCTTTCACCATTTCCTGCCCTAGTCTGTGAAGCCAGAGTTGAAGGTTCCCCCGTACTCTCCTCCAATCCCCAAACCCCATTTCAGAGTTGCAGGTCCTGAGAAACGCCCTCACCACACCTCATCCTGTCTCCCCATGATCTCAGTCCTCACTGGATCACATCTCTACCCAGTGCACTAGGAGCTGCAATGGGGAGAAAGAGCAGGCAGAACGCAGTAGGACAAAGAGCAAGGCTTTCCAAGGATTCCAAAACCTTCAACACCTCCCTGGCCTCTTCGTGCTAATATACTATTTGATGTTCAGTTCCCTTGGGGTGCTGGGGAGGAGAGGGGTCCTGACAATAAGTCAGCAGTGGGCCAGGTGCAATGGCTCACACCTGTAATCCTAGTACTTTGGGAGGCGGAGGCAAGAGGATTGCCTGAACCCAGGGGTTCAAGATCAGCCTGGGCAACTTGGCAAGACCTCGTCTCCACAATAAATCAAAAAGTTAGCTGGGCGTGGTGGCGTGCTCCTGTAGTTCCAGCTACTTGGAAGGCTGAGCCTGAAGGATCACCTGAGCCCAGCAGGTCGAGGCTGCAGTGGCCATGAGCATGCCACTGCACTCAGCCTGCATAACAGAGGAAGACTTGGACATTAAAAAAAAATTATCAGGTGTGACAGCGTTCACTGTAGTCCCAGCTAACCTGGGAGGCTGAGGCAAGAGGATGACCTGAACCCAGGAATTCGAGGTTACAGTGAACTATGATTGCACCACTGTGATCTAGTCTGGACAACAGAGCAAGACCCTGTCTAAAAAAGAATAAAAATTAAAAGATAACTGCTTAATGCTTTGGATATATTTTCTCTTGGCTTAGAAAAAAGAAACTGGGCCAGAGTTTCAGGGTTCTGTTATTCATTTAAAACATCTGGTCCTCTGATCCTTTATTTACCCTTATTCATTCCTGGTCTAAAGTCTTGCCCTTGGTCTGAGACGATCACCCCCTTGTGACTATGTAGAGAGGTGATGCCACCAGCTGGCCAAGTCTAAGAACTTCATTTTTCTAGCATTTTGTTCACTTAATTGTCTGTCCATTAATTCATTCACTCACTAATCATAGCATTCTCTGAAACCTTACTATGTGCCAGGCACTGTGCTAGATGCTGGAGAGACAAAAACAAATAAATTATGGCCTTAGAAGAGAAAGTTTTTTTTGTTTTTTGTTTTTGTTTTTGAGTTGGAGTCTCACTCTGTCGCCCAGACTGGAGTGTAGTGGCCGCTCCGGGTCACTGCAGCCTTGACCTGCTGGGCTCCTGCGATCCTTCCGCCTCAGCCTTCCAAGTAGCTGGAACTATGGGCGCACGCTACCACGCCCGGCTAATTTTTTGAATCAGCCTGAGCAACATGATGATACCTTGTCTCTATGAAAAATTTTACAAAATTAGTTGGGCGTGGTGGTGCATGCTTGTAGCTACAGCTACTTGGAAGGCTGAGGCAGAAGGATCGCCTAAGCCCAGCAGGTCGAGCCTGGGGTGGTTGTGACCATGGGTGACAGAGTGAGACTGACTCAAAAAAATAAACATCCCTTCCATCTCAAAAACTTTACCTTCTGGCTGGGCTCAGTGGCTCGGCCTGTAATCTTGTGCCTTTGGGAGGCTGAGGTGAGTGGATTGCCTGAGCCCGCGGGTTTGAGACCTGCCTGGGCAGGCGAGACCTCATCTCTACAATAAAATCAAAAAATTAGCCGGGTGTGGTAGTGCGCACCTGTAATTCCGGCTACTCGGAAGGCTGAGGCGGAAGGATCACCGGAGCCCAGCAGGTCGAGGCGGCGGTGGCCTGGAGTGGCCACTGTACTCCAGTCTGGGTGACAGAGTGAGACTCCAACTCAAAAAAAACCAAAAAACAAACAAACAAACAAAAAGAACATCTAGTTGAACTTCTCATTTTATACAGAATGAAAGTGACTTGCCCAAGGCCACCAGGGGAGTGATGGTAGAGTCAGGATTTGAGATAAAGGTCCCTTGACTCCTAAAATAGGAGCCCTTTCCACCACGTCAAGAAACCCTGCAGTTGTTTCTCTCCACACTTCATTCCTTCCTGCTTCTGAGTGCCAGAAGCACCATCCAGTCCCTGTCCTTGGGTGGTTTCAAAGCAGCATATGGAAATGGCCCCAGCATGTGGACAGAGGGACAGTGACAACTTCTCCCAGATGGTTATTTATTCATAACCGTTGGGAGGATATGGAGGAACTAGAGTCAACAGAAATGCATTTGCTGTCCCTCACATTCATATTACCCTCTGGAGCCACACTTGACCAGTGCCATTGTCTTCTTTTTTCTTTTTTTAGAGTCAGGGTCTTGCTCTGTTGCCCAGACTGGAATACAGTGGCACAATCACAGCTCACTGAAACCTCAAACTCCTGGGCTCAAGTGACCTTTCCCCCCTCAGCCTCCTGAGTAGGTGGGACTACAGGCATGCACCACCATGCCTAAATAATTTTTAAAATTTCTTTAGAGCCGGGCTCGGCGGCTCAGTCTGCAATCCCGCGCCTTTGGGAGGCTGAGGTGAGTGGATTGCCTGAGCCCACGGGTTTGAGATCCGCCTGGGCAGAGAGACCTCATCTCTACAATAAATAAATTAAAAAATCAGCCAGGCATGGTAGCGCATGCCTGTAATTCCGGCTACTCGGAAGGCTGAGGCCGAAGGTTCGCTGGAGCCCAGCAGGCGAGGCTGCGGTGGCCGGAAGCGGCCACTGCACTCCAGTCTGGGCGACCGAGTGAGACTCCAACTCAAAAAAAAAAAAAAATTTCTTTAGAGTTGGGATTTCACTGTTTCCCAGGCTCATCTTGAACTCCTGGCCTCAAGCAATCCTCCTGCCTTGGCCGCCCAAAGCGCTGGTATTACAGGCGTGAGCCACTGTGCCCAGCCTCCAGTGCCATTTTCTATCTTTTTTACAGAGTCGAAGGACCTGTTGTGGTAGGCTATGGTGTCTGCCTTACATAAAAAGGGCTTCTGATGGCTGGACCTTCTCCTCAGTCATCTGAATATCCACCCCTCCCTCAGCCCATATGTTTGTCCAGCTACACGTCCCTGTCCCCACACTCTAAAGGTTAGGCTTTGGAGTATCCAAAGAGGAACTGGAGGAAGAGGCAGGAGGGATCCAGTTATCACTCTGCAGAGCATAAAGGGAAGAGAGATTTGCATTTATGGAAGAAGGGACAGAGACTAAACCCTTGGGGGACTCTGAATGGCAGGAACAGAAAACCCACCCCTAATCCAAACCCCCCACATCAGCCCAGTCAGCCACCATCTCTACTCCTTCATGTCTCCAGGATTTCCTGGAGAGGAACCTCTGTTTTGGTTAGGGGCATGGGCAGCGCCAATGCTCGGGGCAGGTTCTGAATCAATTTCTCTCTCTCAATAAACTTTATGTCTTGCCATCATTTTAGAGTTACAGAAAAATTGCAAAGGCAGTGAGAATAATACATCTTTTTTATTTTCCAAAGTAAAACCGACAGAGCACCAAAAAAGAAAAAAAATCATAGGGACAAATATGACAGAAGCTGTGAAATACCAGTACACTGAAAATGACAAAACATTGCTGAGAGAAATTAAAGAAGACCTACATAAATGGAGGTAGACTGTGTTCACTGGTTGGAGACTCAGTCATAGTCTATTTTTTTTTTTTTTTTAGTTGGAGTCTCACTCTGTCTCCCAGGCTGGAGTGCAGTGGCATGCTCATTGCCACCACAGCCTTGACTTGCTGGACTCAAGTGATCCTTCTGCCTCAGCCTTCCAGGTAGCTGGAACTACAGGCGCACACCACCACACCTGGCTAATTTTTTTGATTTTTTTTTTTTGAGTTGGAGTCTCACTCCGTCGCCCAGACTGGAGTGCAGTGGCACACTACTGGCCACTGCAGCCTTGACCTGCTGGGCTCCGGCAACCCTTCTGCCTCAGCCTTCCAAGTAGCTGGAACTACAGGCACACACTACCATACCCAGCTAATTTTTGATTTATTGTAGAGACGAGGTCT